AAAAATGAATGATTACCTAAAACCAGCACGGCTTTGAGAGAAAGTATGAACAGTTCTGTGATCATTCTGCTGTTGTCTGTGTGCTTAGAGCCTCTGGTCTCAGAAAAAAAAAAATCTGATCTGCAAAAGAAGTAGACACCCTGTAGGAGGGCGGAGTCACAACAGATCCAAAATAATTAGAAAAAAAAAGTTGTTGTCCTTCTAAGAGGCGGTTTGCAAACTGCAACCAGATGTTTGGTCACAAACTTAAGAGAGTTACAGAAACTTTGTGTGATAAAACGTAAAAAAAAAAAAAGAAAAAAAAAAGATAGGCATTTATAATGTGCCGATCTGAAGTAGCACATTGTAGAAGACACTTTATAATCCATATTTAGGGGGTTGAATGCACTGTTTGAGTCCTGAATGGCGAGAACAAACACAAAACTCAAAGATGGAGAAAATCCACAGAGCGAAATGTTTGTTCTTTTAATCATCATAACAAATGTGACTGTATGAGTATTAAATTTAATAAGTTGCTTCAAAGCTTTGAGGAAAGTTTAGATAATCCAAAGAGGCGCCCTCTTTTTTTTCTTTTTAGTCTATATATCAAATACATTGACAAACTTATTTGTGGAGTTATTTACAAATAAATTGAACACAACTCGGTGTATATTCTGTGTAATCAATTGTATTGTTCGACTCTTTATCAACAGGAAGGAAAATAATTGCTTCTGTCTGAGAGCATTTTTTGAGAAACACTGCCTCCTAGTGGACGGTATGGCTCCACAGCTGGGTGATCAGTCCCTCCTCTGAGGTTTCCCTGTATCTCTTGCTGCTATCAGCAGGTGAATGATGGCTCCTCTGGTATCAGTGAGGGTTTTTGTTGGAGCCTGAGGCTTCATGCAGCACTGTGCATCACTGGCAGCACAGAAATACACGGCGCTGTCCTCAGACTGCCTCAGCTTTGGAATGACAAGAGACGACAGACTCTGGCCGCTACCAGTCACTTTATAAAGGTTTTGAAACTGATCTTCAACAGTGTGTGAAGTAAAACGAGCGTAACCAAGGAGAGTCATGTCGGTTTTCCCAGGAGGCTGTTTGTACCACTGGATCATGTTGAAGTTGGTGTTTGAATGACTGCAGTTTATCTGGACTGATTCTCCTGGTTCTCTGATCAATGCAGCTGGACTCTGATGAACGCTGTTTTTTGATGGATCTGCTGAAAAAAAAAAGACACATTCAGAGCAGAGAATCTACAA